GCCGCTGTTTGTCGCTGAGTTTTGAAGAGATTTATTGGCTGGCTCTTGCTAAGCCACGCTTGAGTAATCCGAGCTGCTGCGCGCCGTGGTGAAGCCCGGAGGGGGGAACGTCACTCCCTCCGGCAGCGGAGCAACATGAGTCTTCCAGCCCTCTAACCATCACTACAGCGTCGGAAACTGCCGGGTCACAGCCTTTTGCTTTGGAAAATTGGCGATGTTTGGTGCTCGAGATCGGTTACCCTTGTAATCTCTCCTCCCCCCCTCCTCGCTGCTTACCCCACCCCTACCCACCCCAGACAATAGCGTCCGAGGTCCTCCTGGAAAAAAAAATAGAAAAGAAAGCAAGGAAAGAAAGAAAGAAAAAGAAAGAAACTGGAGGATGGATCTGACTCCAGTAGGAAAAGCGTGTGTCTAGAAGTGGTGCTAATGGGAAGAGATTTCCGAGCTCCAGAGGACGATGGTTTGTCACAAAGGGTAGCTGGCTCGGTGCTTTGGGCTGGAGCCGTGTAGGAGATCCTTGGAGAAGTCGTTGTGCACAGACAGCCGAAGATCTGTACAAACATGCCTGTTCGCAGAGGTCATGTGGCACCACAAAATACATTTTTGGGTACAATCATACGAAAATTTGAAGGGCAAAGTAAGTTCTCTCTTTCTATCTATTTTACTACCGTAGTTTGATTCTGCTTGTGACTAAATGGACAGCAACTCCGGACTATTTTAAGTTTGTAGCTTGGAAGGAAAACCCCAGAGGTGAGGAGGTGATCCCTGGCAGGAGTGACAGTGTTTGTGATCTAGAATACAGTTTATGGACTTGGATTATTGTTATTTTTTTCCTATTTCAAGAGATAGTTTTAAATCTTTGACTGTATCCATATTGTACAGCTACAGAAGTTATATCTCTTACCTTCCTCTGAACCAGCGAGATGGCTCTGAAGCAGAGCACACAATGTTGCTGCCTATGCAACGTCTAAGAAAATTCGCTAGACTTGTTATTATTATCACTGTCTTTTTAAAATAAAGCAGAACAGGCGGACTTTGATTTAGAAGAGACAGATAATATGCAGCGTTATTAAAGGGAAAGTACACTCTTACCTCGTTGTCATGATTGCATTTTAAAATAGCTGTCAAATATTTTTGCTTTGTTTATGGAAGCCTAAAGTATCTATCAAATCTGTGCAAATGCATCCTCAGGGAGTGTCTATGAGATCTTTTCCAATGCAGCAGTTTACTACCTGTCAGAGAGGCTGAAGCTAAAGTATTTTTCTTGGCCAGAGCTCTGATTCACTGTTAACAATAAAAAGGAAAACCTGATGCTTAAAAATAATTTCATATAGAAACAGTAGTTCTGATATAGATACATTTATTTAAATACTTAGCACATTTTTAGTATCAGTCCACCGGAAACCCTCACAGTTTATACACTTGCTGTACCCTCTTAGAAATGCACATGCTACCAATTTAATATTTATGTTATTTCAGAATAAAATAAATACAGTATTTGTAGTCCTTATTTATCTAAACGCTAAGTCAGCGTTGCTACTTGAGTAAAGTTTTATGCATGAAAGTGTTTATATGTTGAAGAGAATAAAGCAATATCTAGTAAATTAACAAGTGATAGGGAAAATTCAGCATGACTGAAAGACAATAGAAATAGTGAGAATGAAATCTATATTTTTCTCTCCAAACATTTCATTATGTTCAAAGACAGAGTATCTTTAAAATTTTGAAGACTTGTACTGCTAACTGGGTATCACATAAAAAGTCTTTTATTAATGTGATAAGACTTATCGAAGTCAAGGGACCTACCACTGTGAATAAGGCAAGCAGAAATTGGTCTTGGAACTGGTATACTAACAATAAAAGCATTAAAGCTGCCCATTCATATTTATAATGGGAATACTGTGTTGTGATGTTAACAAATGAAGTAAAAGATGAAAGATAACTTTCGTATACCTTTCAGGTGAGGGTTTGGAAAAGGATATTTGACTAAGGCATGGAACTTCAGTGGAGTGTCAAAAGTGTTTCCAACACCACAATCTTTGATTTTGGTGCAATTTTATATTCATTTTTTACTAAGGAATATTCCATTTCATAAATGTAACATCTAAAACAATCACAAAGGAAAACAATTTAACATGTTTTCTTCTGAGAAGTTTTGTTAAAATACTGACTATAACCTTACTGTTATTCAGCTCAATTAAAAATCCCCACTGACTACACTGAGTTGGCTGGGCCTGATCCTAGCAAGCCCTTTACTTGAGTAGAAACTCCCCAAAACAAAGGACCTACTAACTTTTCAAAGGAGTTCTCCTGGAGTTACCATTCACTGGATGGAGCTCATTATCTGGGTTTCACTGAAGCTAAAAAAGATAGAACGTTGAAGTCAAAAGGAGTTTTGCAAAAAGACTTGCACAATTTGGTTTTATTTCCTTAAAAGACAAACAAGCTTCATCTTTAATGTAGTCTAAGTGTATTAAAATTTCTTTAAAAGCTAGGTATCAAATTAACTACATTAAATAACTGAAAATCTCTACATTCCAGGCATCCCAGGGAAAAAATTGGTTGTTCAGCATCCTTCTGTGCAATCGACATTTTATGAAATGCTGAAAGAGTACTAAAAAATGCATCACTTTCTTTTACTGCAGATAAAAAATTCATCATTGCTAATGCTAGAGTGCAGAACTGTGCTATCATCTATTGCAATGATGGGTTCTGTGAGATGACTGGATTCTCCAGGCCAGATGTCATGCAGCAACCTTGCACCTGTGATTTTCTTCATGGACCAGAGACCAAAAGACATCATATTGCTCAAATTGCCCAAGCACTGCTTGGGTCAGAGGAGAGGAAAGTAGAAGTCACCTATTATCACAAAGATGGTAAAGTTTCTTTTTATTTTCAAGATTTGTTGTGTGTTTAGTTGATCAGTTGACTGGTAGAAGAAGTGTGTGAGATGCGGCTGGCCAGACACTTAGCTGGAGTAGCGTTGAAACTCCCTTGAAGTCCAGGGAAGCTACACTGATGCACACTGATGGGGAATCTGCCTGAAAGTAGTAGGTGTATACAGTATGGTACTGTACACTGTAGTAGCTGACTGAAGTTAGCACTGTATTTGCAACCGTTGAACCAAAATTCTCCTATCAGTTCAGTAGGTATAAATCAGGTGTAAATCTATGAAATTAAATGGGTTTACAGCAATGAAAAGATAACAGCGTAAAGTGGGCATCCCGTGGATGTGAATTTTTATGAGATCTTTTGTCCCACAGAAGGTAGAAGTAATAAATAAATTTCAGAGGACTCTGCTAGCCTCACATGAATGGAAAAGTGACTTGATTTAAATGATAGATTTTCTGGAAAAAAAATTACAATAGATTTAAAAGTAGTAAAATGTGGCCCGATAAAGTAAATCATAATTTAAAAAGCATAATCTAAAAAGCGTTAAAAGAAAGAGACAAATCTTCTTCAGAGATGAGCTATTGTGAAGTTGGTGTAACTACATTTACATCATAGGAGTTGTTCTATAATTATGTAAAAATGCACAGTACAAATACTGTGATGGTTAAACTATGAAGAGCTCTACCTGCTCTTCAGTAAAGACTCAATGTAATCCATTAACACTATTACTATTATAAGGAAGAATGGGTAAATCTGCTCTGCTGATACTTTTTCCCTGTTGAGAGCATAAAATGAATAAATGTTTGTATTTGCAGATTTAGCAAATGCGTAAGCATGACAACTAATTATGACACTTTCCAGTTACATGTAGGCTGTTTTCTTCTTTTCTGATTACCCAGTGTTATTCACAGGAACGTCTGTCTTTCAAGTAATGAATAAGTAGGGTGTACCTTATTCTATCACTTGCTGTGTATACGCTCATGGGAGAAGGAAAAGGAAATTCATATTCAAATGCTGTGCTTAAATTAGTTCTGGAGAAGTGCCAGTGTGTTGTTTGCATCAATTTTAGGATCACATGCAATGGATGCTCTCACATTTTAAAGTCATAGAGTTAAATCCTGTTCTTAGTTATTCTGTCGCTATCTCAGAGACACATAAGTAATTTTATTTTTAGCTTAGGCTGGTGTAATTCAGATAGAGCTCACACCAACCATTCTGCCCACACTGCCAATATTTAAGTACATGCATCTTAGAAAATATATTCTTATTAAAGTCTTTTATTATTAGATCTGGTTTGGTGGTCTGGATCAGATTTTGGTCAAGATCTGTTGTTGTAGTTGTGCCTTGGTCGTAGATTTCTCAGGGGACTTGGCGCTGTGTATCTTGTACACATCTAGCCTGTGTTTGTGTTAACTTGACACGTCGCAAAAGGAGAAAGTTGTTGCTAACTTTAACAGCCACCAGCCTGGAGCACTGTTTTCAGATCTGGTCATTCAAAAGTGCTTCAGTCTCCCAAGATATTAGTAGGTAGTGAAAGGTGCTTAACTAAAGCATTGCTTACCTGTCAGTTACTGGAAATATATGGATTTCAAAAATGCTGAATTCTGGCATCATGCCATACACCATAATCTGTTTGACACAATCAAAGCAAAACTGTTCATTAAAACTGTCATGTTTTTCATACATAATTTTGAATTTTGAAGCATATTACAAATGAGAGTTATAGATTATTCAGTGTAAACAATCCTGTCCGTAAGGGTTTTGAATAACTTCACTTCTGTGAATAATTTCTTTAGATTGAAAGATTATTATGTTAAAAGTACTAACATTACTATGTTATGAGAGCTCTAAAGGTTAAGGAATTTCAAAAGCTACAGACAATATTTCTAAAAAGATAAGGCTAGAATTCTTCAAAGTTTTACTAGTCAAAATGTCAAAATGACTTACTGTATGCACTATATGTGCCACTAAATCTAAACATATACAGGTGAAATATTTTGAATTTGAATATGATTTGAAACATCAAGTCACTGATTTTAGGCAAAAAATTGCCAAAATAGAAGATAGGTCTGACACCCAAAAACATAACTGACAGCTTGATCATTTATTGTATATACAGACTTTTTTTGTTTCGTTACACATAATGTTCAAGTTGACTCATAAAAGAAAATGGGATAAAGATCTAAAGTGTGTGTAGTATTATAAAATAGGAATTACATGTATAATAGATTTAATCTGTTTCAGTAAACATGTTCTTTAATTATCTTAAATTACTGAAAAGCTATACTTCCCTTTTCATTTAAGATTTGTGAACATTTTTTATACAAAACTATCATGTAGAGTAGTGACAGCTAACAAGAACTTTCTCCAGGTTCTGAAGCAGGATGAATTTAATGAATTTTCTAAAAAGTTGTGAGTTCAGTGCCTGGTTAGTTGCTTATTGTGTATTGTGAGTGAATACGAGTATATTTTTAAGAGCTCAATACCAGAACAGTTAGAAAGATGACTTTTTCCATGTGAGTAACTCAAGTGAATATCCAATGAACTACTAACTGCTTGAAAGTTTGATTCGACATTATGTATATATATATTCCATAGACACCCGCAGTATACCTCTAGACAAACATAATACTTGAGCATTCGGAGGAGGAAGACAACTCGTGAAAGTGTGTGAATGGCTTAAGGTTCCACCAACAGGGGTTTCTGAAGACCACGTTACACAGTCCTGAATAAATGCCCAGTGAATTTCAAATAAAAGCTTATGTCATATCGTACTATCATTTACTCTACATAAGCCACTGATTATATTAGAAATTATTTTAATATTTTAAAGAAAATGTCAGTGGGATCATATATTCTTTCACTTATAGAGGTAATCTGAT